GAAAACATATTGCATTCTGGGAGTGCTACTCTGATTTGTTGACCAATGAGAAAGTACCTTACACAGCAAAGTACAGTAATTCTGAGCACTCATCTTGTAGCACAGATTCTAATCAGTCCCTGATGTAAACATGAATTGAACAGTAGTTTCATGCAAAACACAAAATGCAACCGTTTAAACACTGAGACTTACCTTCCAACCTGTGACACTGAACGTCTTCCCTGCACTGCCCACTGTGATTGTGCGATCCCACATCCCAGGCAAAGACGCTAATAAAATACAAAATTAATGATGATGTGTTATGCAAGGAATGTTTTAACAACAATCATGTTCCAATGTGGGAATCAATTTTGATGTTTTCTTCACTATATTAAAGCACTGTTATAAGAATTGCAAACGCATATAGGAAGAAATTAAAGGAATATGTTTTCAAACCAATGGCGTAATTTTTTATAGAGATCTGCTAAAGTCTAAAGTATGAGTGTTGTGCTTTATCATAATCAAAGGTTTCTTGTAACAAAATATTGTTATGACTGTGATCTCTCGTCAATTTCTACTGCACATAATGTGTAGCGAGCCTTGAAGTGACCAATCAGAGAACTGAACAATAATAAATTTAGAATATGCACATGTGACGTTCTGATAATTAACACTGTCAATGTCAGATAAAAGCTGTAAAAGTATTAATTGAAATAAATAATTTATAAACAAATAAATAAACAAACAAAAAAACAACAACGAAATAATATGCATCTAACTATAACATACCTATCCTGATATGTTCAATTCCGTCGTACACTAACCATTCATATACTTCATCACTGATGCATATAACGTCATGTTCGATACACAGCTTTGCGATCATTTCTAGCTCTTTGCGGTGAAATACCTACATGTATAAGGCAAATACCAGACAGACAGTCATACAAGATTACTGTAATATTGACATGCATACTGAAAGTTTTTTTTTTGTACAACATCAAACAAGATTACAAATTATTGGGAAATTAATTGAATGAAACACATTAAAAGTTTTAATGTTCTACTGTATGTATAGTAATTATTTGAGTCTGCATTTGTACTCACCTTTCCCAATGGATTGTTGGGAGTATTAAAAATAATGGCTTTAGTCTTATCTGTAAATTTACTCGCAAGTTCGTCTGGATCCAAAACAAAATCTTTGGTGGAATCCACTTTGGATTGGTTCTATGATAGCGTGAAGAAAAGAAAATGGTACTAAGATTTATTGTTTCAGTAATTCATTAAATATTAATAATGTGTTTGTGGCCTGGTCTAATGTATCAAAATAATCTTTATTGTAGCAAAACATTCAAAGCAATCGCTGTACATTTACTAGCAAAGTTGATAATAACTTACTGTAGTGTAGCAACATTTATATAAACATCATTTAAAGAATGAATAAAGCAAAGGTAAAAGAAAACAGAATTTGTTTTTGGTATTGATACAAATTTCATCACTCCTACAGAGTTTCTTTTCTTGTGATTTTACTTCCTCCCCTTCTCCAAGTTGGGTCATAAACTGTTAATGAACATACATCAACAAAAAACGTACATTGTTAAAGCTGTCACAATGATATATTTACTCACTGGTCTGACAGGAATGAACACTGGTACGCCACCTGCTAACCTCGTCATCGGTGCATAACAATCAAAGTATGGCTCCACTATGATCACCTAAAAATATTAATACCAAATGCTGTAGCCATGTACATTCAAAACATTATCAATCCCATATTGCAATTCATCGTACTTTATTCCCTGTAATATTCAATCCCATAATGCACAGCATCTCATCCCATGTATTGAACAATCCATAAATACATTTCATCAAAACTCATTGACTAGAATATTCAATCCCATAATGCATCTCATCTTACCTCATCCCCTAAAATATTCAATCCCATTAAGCATATTATCTGACCTCAGTTCCTAGAATATTCAATCCCATAATGCATCTCATCTTACCTCACCTCCTAAAATATTCAATCCCATTAAGCATATTATCTGACCTCACTTCCTAGAATATTCAATCCCACAAGCTCGTCCCCTAACATATTCACTTCCATGTTGCATCATATCTTATTTATCCCCTGGATTGAACAATCCCATAATTCATTTCATCTTACCTCACCCCCTGGATTGAACAATCCCATAATTCATTTCATCTTACCTCATCCCCTGGATTAAACAATTCCATAATTCATTTCATCTTACCTCATCCCCTGGATTGAACAATCCCATAATTCATTTCATCTTACCTCATCCCCTGGATTAAACAATCCCATAATTCATTTCATCTTACCTCATCCCCTGGATTAATCAATCCCATAAAGGTACAAAACAATGCATCATAAGCACCAACAGTGCAGAGTACTTCTGTGTTAGGGTTTATTTCTCGGTTGATAAGTCCACCATACATGGTTGCCAGTGCTTTCACAAGACGAGGATGGCCCTAGTAGATAAAAAAAATGAAACTTGGAAAGTTTTAATAGTCCTCACACTTCAAGACATTTCCTTGCTTTTTCAGTTTTTAACAGATATTTGTATTTTTACTGACCACTTCATGGAAACCATTTTCAAGATATTTTACTGCATATTGACATTGATCATAGCTAGATTCTGATTGTTTTTTCAGTGAATGTTATGATTTAACAGTCAATAATGTATTTGAGTATTTTGCTGCATTTGAGAGTATATACAATATACTTTTAATTGTTACTTACATAGCCCCTAGTATACTGATGCATCATGGGATCTGAACTAGTAACTGTCTTTGCCAAGGCATCTACTACATGAGGTGGAGCTGCAAAGTCGGGAAAACCCTGAAAAAGTGAACAAAGTTGAGCGGTTTTAGGGATGCAGTGAATTCAAAGTTTTGTAATTTTGAAGTAGACAAGCCATGCATGGCACAGACCCCATTAGTTATCAAATCTAAGTTATATAATATTGCTTATAGGAATATGGTACGAGTACTTGCCCATATTGAGAGATATTGCTGTGGAACAGCATTAATTAAAACAAAATGGTCACCGGTCGGCCATTTTGAATCGGGTCATCAAACCAATACATCTGTATATATCCATGACACGATATCAAATTTGAACATTATTCAAAGCATGTCTAGAACCCTGTTCATTGAAACAAAATGGCCACCAGTCAGTGATTTTTAATTCAATCTTGAAAACAAAATCATGCACACCAGGTACCCATAATGTACCAAGTTTAAACAAAATAAACGACCAAAAATCCGGTTGCGGAATGCCAGAAATGCTTGATTTTTGATGATTTTTCAGCACAAAAATGGCCACCATTCTATCTACCAATCAGCCATTTTGAATCTGATCTAAAAACAAAATGATGTGCATATGTATAGTATTATGTATAATGTATGTGTGAAGTTTGGATGTAATCAGGCATGTCTAAGATACAGGTCCGGATGCACGCACACACACACAGACTCATGAATGCACAGACACATGCACGGACTCCATTCAAGCAGGGACTAATTAGAGAGTTCTTATCACCAAAAAGACATTCAATATTGTTTGGGTTATACTAAGTATGCCAGTTTTCTAATGAAATTTGTACAGAAAGTACTTTTAATAACAGTTCAGAGTTTGATCTAAGATTTTAAAAATGAGAGCAAAGAGGGCCCCCTTTTGAGGCTAATTTTATGCACTGATCGTAAATTTATTGTGCAATGACGCAGCCTAGATCAAACTCTGGTTGGTTTTGTTATTTTTTGCAGATTTTCATATGGGATATTCTTGTGCTGAGATAGTTGGTTTTGTTATTCTTGCATAATAACCATTGATGAAAACACATTCTAACCTGTCCCAAATTTACTGGCTTGTACTCCAATGCGAGACCAACAAACTCTACCCTGCAATCAAAAACAGAAGACACATGTCACACAGAATATATCAGGTTTGACCTAATGCTCTTATTTTTTTGGCAACATTTTTTGACAATACTTTGCATTTTTCCTTGATTTTTGATTATTGGGTATATTTTCCATTGCTTACAGTACTTTTTTATTTTATATTTATTTAGATCACTGTCATTGCAGAACTAGTATGAAAATCCCTTGTCCTATAGGACATGTGTAGGATTCCTATAGGATTTAAATGGGATTCCAAGATGGATTCCTATAGAATTTGCATGCATAGTCTTATAGGACTTTGAGAAGAACTCTGATATTTCCATTTAACGTCATTTAGACCTTGTGTAGGATTATTATATTCCAAAAGTGTGCTGTGACATGTGCTATTGGAAGACACATTTAAAATGATTTAAATAATATTGTAAACTCAATCATGATTATTGTGTTCAATGCACACTCACCAAACATTCTTGTCAATTCCTTCAATTCTTTTAGCGAGTTGTTGTTTCTTGGACATTGTGATCTGGAAAAGCAAAAGATTTTTTATGAAATTTTTTATTTATGAAATTTAAATGATACAAAGCGCTTTTTTTGTAAAAATTTAATGATACAATATT